GAACTCAGACCTTGATGTCACTAGTGTCATGCTCCACTGTTTGAACTACAGGAATTTTTGTTTGGTTTAGTTTTAAAACAATAGCGGCAATGATATAAATATATTTGGCTTTCTCTACACTTTCTGTGCATTTAATGTTTATACCTCTAGCGCTGGCTACTTTGGATCAGGTTGTATGGTGAAGATTCCATTCTCTTTGATTCCTACTTGGTAGATCTCATGACAGTCTTGAGGGTAAAGCCCTGCAGAGGGAGGCACTGGCGTATAGATCCAAAGAAAACATCTGTGAACATTTGTGCAATAAATGTCCTAGTAGTCTGCTGGACTGCATAGTGTGTTTGTTCTGTGTGTGTGTGTGTGTGTGTGTGTGTGTATGTGTGTGTGTATAACTCACCTGTAGGAGTCCTTGGTTTGAGGCCATTAGGTTTAGAGTGTGTGATACTCTTCAGCAACAGCAGTAAGTCTTTCTCCCCATTTTTGCCCACCACACTTTCTATGACAGAAATAAAGAAAGCTCCTTAGTCAAAAAAATCCTAAGGTAATAAATACATCAAGAAATGTCTACAGGATTCCTGTTAGATTTAGCAAATGGCTGCAATATAACAAAGAGTGAAAAATTTAAGGGGGCCTGAATACTTTCCGTACCCACTGTATATATTTCATTAAATAATTTCTGACCTTAAAAAAATGACACTGATACATTTATTTATTTATTTTTGTTAAATAAACAAGGTGACTATAAAATGTTTAATAGTCCAGCATTCCGACACACTTCCATAACCATAATTAAAACAGCTATATAAATTAAAAGAGAAGCTGACTGAAATTATTATTTGATATGGTAATGCTTCATAATTTACCTGTTTGAAATTATATGATCCTACCTAGTATGTACTTTTGTATTCTTATAGATGTCTTAAATGCAAAGTATTTAGGGATGTGTGCTGTTGAATTTAACCAGTATTAATTATTATTCAACAGGCAAATACTGAATACAGGAATGATAACATATGCTAATATATATATATATATATATATATATATATATTACTCTTCAGCAACAGCAGTAAGTCTTTCTCCCCATTTTTGCCCACCACACTTTCTATGACAGAAATAAAGAAAGCTCCTTAGTCAAAAAAATCCTAAGGTAATAAATACATCAAGAAATGTCTACAGGATTCCTGTTAGATTTTCTATGATGGACCAATCCTAATAAATGGGAATGGAAATGTTCTTACAGAATTCTAGCACAAAACATCTTACAAAACACATAATCATAATGACTATTGCTAATATTCCTGTCAATTCTGTTTCCAAAATTATATAATGTCCCTAGGACATAAAAAGAAATGATTCACAATTTAAAACTCTCTCTGTGATTTCTTTCAACTATCAAATACAAAGCAATATGATTCCAAGAATCAAATAAGATGCTAAACTGTTCATACAGATAAAAACAAAGCAAAAAGAATGCAATACATGTTTTTAGAGTGTTTGAAGAATGCATTATTATTTATTTGATTATTTGCTAGTTGACTATTTGAGGATGGTTAGAGTTTGTTGTGAGGTTATACAAAGGTTAGAGAAAGGTAATGAGAGGGTCAGATTGGAACTGTCAAAGGTCAGTTTTCTTGCATTCCTAAGAACACCTCTGTTTGCTGAGTGTAAATTAGGTGTTAACTTAATTGAATGAACAGCAGGAATTAAAGAATGAATAAATTATGAAAAGAAAGAGTATTCAGTCTGTTTAACACACTGGAATCACACATTAATATGCTTTATCTAGGCATGTCCTATCAGGAAACATAAGAGACGTATGTTGTTAAATATAATGACCGAGTCTGGTGGCCATCTCTCTGAGTCTCTGACTATGGCAGTGGAGGTCACATTCTGTCAGCACCGCTGCCATAAGAGCCAGAAAGGCTACCAGTGAGTCAGAACCGTCTCCCTGACTCACAACCACTGATTCACGTTGCAGCATACAGCGCTGCAGCTGGATGAGACATTTCGATGTATCAGACACCTGCATGACACACATAAACATACACAGACATAAAAACACAAAGAACATGCATCTTAAATCTCAATCACCATATTCAACATTGTATACAAATTCTCTATATTCTATGACTTTTATCTTAGTGTCAGTAATATAGAGTTGTTAATGTTCCTTAATTATATATATATATATATATACAGATATATATATTACACACCCACAAAAGTTTTATTTGTTATTGGGATATTACCAACATATGAAAAGATTACATCATTTTTTTATAATACACAAAATAAAAACAACAAATATTAATAACATTGAAAAAACAAACAAATGCATTATATATACAGACACCTACATAGTAAGGTTTCACCTTTTAGCATGCCAAGTTAACTACACAAGTTAAAATGAACTAAAAATGAACAATACTTCTGCAGCATTTATTAATCTTAAGGGTAACTTAAAAAATATTTGTGCCCAGTACACTCTCAAATCTCTCACCGAGGATCATTTAGATCATATTACCTGTGCGTTTTAGTGGTTCTCTGGAGACTTTCTAAAACACGAATCCTGAGAGTGAGGGTGATGTATTTTGGGGGTGATGCTGTTGCACTGCAGCTCCCCTCACATCTGCCGTTGCGTGGCAAAGCCACCAGGATGTCCCTCTGTCAAAGCACATGGACACACATCATGTACGCTCCCAGCAAAAGCAAGGGAAAAACACACACACACATGCTGCTCAGGACACCACACGAGCTCAAAGAGATAGTATGCACCTGTTCCGTGTCTATTTCTCTATCTACTCTAACGGTATCTACTTTATACTACTTATCTTCAATAGGATTTTCTCTAGCCACACTCCTGTGTTCAGATCAGTATCATCTGCAGTCTATCATTGTCTTTCTTTCTCACTATGTACTCATCAGAGTCTCCTCTCCTGTTTTTCTCTTTTATTTGATCTTCTCTATCCCTCCCTCTCACTCTCTTCTGTTTGTGAGGCTCTTTTGGCTCAGATTCCTAGATAACTGTGGCTCTTTGCTGTCTGACATGCACTGGTACACCCACCCCCTAACACACACAAATACACACACTTGTTCCTATACGTCTACATGCACATGCAAACACTCAGCATCTAACTGGTCACATGAAATTTCACCATCAAATCCATCTAGGATCTACAAATAAACACACTCTCCCTTACAATCACATTCAAATACAAAGATAAAAATCCTCATCAGGTTTTAACTCAACCTTTGTACTGTGTGTGTCCTGTTTTGGAGTGTGTGTAACGTTTATTGAGTTTGTTAAGGGTCGTAAAAACTTTTCCTCTTTTAAAATTCCTCTTTTAACACTCTTATTAAAAGACACAGTCGCATACTAATATATATACATACACGGGCAGGGAAGGAGAAAAATCTTTTGAATAGGGTGACCTCTGCTAAACTTTGACCTTTAACCTTTCTCTGTCTCAAGCGGGAAGGTGTGAGACCTATTTTATTTCTGAGGTGTTTGCTCTTTGTGTGCTTGGGTGCTATAACAACTGTGTAACTGTAAATGTGCCAACATGCATATTAGAGTCAACGCATGACTCACCTGCAGGTGGTAATGAACAGATCAAAAATCACTATGTTGGGTTATTTCCTCATCAAAGTGTAATTCATCGGGGTGCAGAAAAGTAAGACATACATTTTCAATTTGTATTAAATTTAAGAGATCTGTGCCCTGTTATTATGCGTTACACCTACAAGGTTTGGAAGATGCGAACACCTTGTACATGTGTTTATAAAATTTCAACACAAACCATTATCAGTAGGTATAGATTGCCATCTAGTGCTGAATGTCTGGGATAAAGGCATTTAGAGGAGAAAGTGAATTATTTTGAAAATTTTTGAAATTCTCTGAATTGTATTATTTATTATTCTCTGAAATATTTCGAAATATGTTTTGAAACTATCAGAAGTATCACGTTATGGTTATATTAACCAAATCTGTATCCTGTGCGGAAGGACTAACTATACAAATGAATTCTGTGGCGACCCCTGAAGTTTTTAACAGCTCATGCCACAATAGGGGCGGAGCTTGCTCAACATTTTTGAAAAATACCCCATTGTTAGTTAGACTCACTGTTAAACTAAACTTTGATTTGTTATCATATCGTGTTTTAGCATAATTTAAACTATATGTCTCATGCCGTAATAGTTTTTATGGTCTTCTTACTGTACCAACTCTTATTGTCCAGATGGTCAAAATTAAATCACAGAAAGTTTTAGTTTATCTCTAATCTGTCATCGTTACCGCTCATGTTACAGCTCAGTGCAGTAAAGATCCTTTGAGATGCTAACTATGACTAGATGTTCCTGTAACGAGTTGTCAGACTCATCAAATTCTAGCAATTTGAGCTCAACACCTTTGATATTAAACCGTTTAAAACATAAAAAGTGTGGTGACTAACGTACCATACAACGGTCAAATACTCGAAATGTAATGTTTTTATTCGAGCAAAAAAAAAAATCACTTTCACACACAGGCGCAGAAGAACACAGTGTTAAGTCACCAGGAACAAGAGCAAAGCAAAGAAAAAGTTTGCCAATACACAGCCACTGGAGGGCGTATAATGTGTTAGTTGAGTGAAATTAAACTGCTTGCATCTCGAAGGCGTTTGGTAAACACGGACTGAGTAGTATAATTTTAGAATCGTTACTTTCTCAATTTTCACAGCAAGTTTATTGTACGAACGGTCTCAATATCTATAAAAAGATTTTCGTTCGCAAAGTAAGTGCCCCTACCCAAAATCGCAAGGAAAAGCAGAAGATCTTTTCTTTGCTTTCTCGCGCCACGATTTAGCATTTATTTCACCACTTTTGCACACTGTCAGAAAGAGCACCTTTTGCACTTCCCATATGAATAATTTAGCTTAGTAATATATGTCAAACTAACAAGATAATAGCTCCCAAAGTCGTGGAAGAAAACAACTCCACAAGCGCCTCTTCTGACGGGTGTTGTTGTTCTCAATCACGTCCGCGTGGCGCAGTCAAATCTTATGATTCAAAACGCTGAGATGATGCTCGCATGCTAGAGCTGATATTCTCTCGTTCTCGGAAACACCCATATATATGCATCAAATTTGATCATGTCTGCTGAGGTCGAAGAGTCAGCACCCGCCCAAGCCCCTGCTCCAGCAGCAACCAAAACGAAGAAGACATCGGCAAATAAGGCAAAACCTGCCGTGACTGCTTCTCCAGCTAAAAAGAAGAAAAAGAAGAGCAAGGGGCCCGGCAAGTACAGCCAGCTCGTCATCGATGCGATCCGAACCCTGGGCGAGAAAAACGGTTCATCGCTTTTCAAGATATACAAGGAAGCGAAGAGAGTGAGCTGGTTTGATCAGCAGAACGGCCGCATGTATCTGCGCTACTCCATCCGCGCGCTCCTGCTCAACGACACGCTCGTACAGGTGAAGGGACTGGGAGCCAACGGCTCGTTCAAACTCAATGAGAAGGCATTTGAGAAAAAGCCAAAGAAGAGTGCCACCAAGGCTACCAAGACAGAAAAACCTGCAAAGCCGGCGTACAAAAAAGATGCGACCAAGAAAGTGACTGCAAATAATAACGCCAAAAAAGAGCCCCGTTAAAAAGAAGACCTCGAAGAAGACGAGTGTTAAGAAGGCGACACCCAAACCGAAGAAAGCAGCTGCAAAAAGCCAAAAGTCCCGGTGAAGACGGCAACTAAGGCGAAGAAATCAAAATAGACTTTCTGTGAAAATGAAGAATAATATTTTTGTATATAGCTTATTGGAAAGAGAACGCAGAGATAAGGGGAATCGTTTTTTAAATATATATTTAGATATTTTTGTTGACTTTAGGTATGCTGTCATTTAGGGTTTGATGTAGTTCTTCTAGAAACGGCTTCAACCCACTTTAGTTTCTGCACTGCTGCAAGACGTCATGCTTTTTTTTTTTCATGGAAGTGACTGTTTCGTTTGCTGCACTAAACAGGATACTTGGTACTAGCTAACTAGACGAAGATGAACGCTTTGTGAATATAAGCTAGAACTGTGTTTTTTCATATGAAATGTTGCTGAACTGCAAACAAAAAACATATGTCCAATAAATCTCTGATTTTTAAATAAAAATGACTGCACAACCTTCTTGACGGGTGTTTAATGGGGATGCCTTTTAACCTGTTCATTTAAACAACAGCGTAAATATATCGCAAGATTAGATTAACGATTCAATTTAATGATATTACCTTGAGCACTTTGTGTGTAAACAGTAAAGGGTGCATGCACAAAACTCATTTGAAATCACCAGTGAAAAAGGAAATACATTTAAAACTACTTATCTGGGATCTAATCAAGTTGTTGGAGATCTAAACTTTTTTTATTCGCCAAATCTTATAATGTTTGTGACAATAATATTTATCTTTTCATGTTTTTTTATGTATGTTCTTACATTTTCCCCATACTGCTGTTTTTTTAAATCCCTGCGGAGCTCTTTAAAAAAGACCCTCATGCAAAATGTGGTTTTAAATATGATACACAAATATTAAGTGGTAAAGCAGTTTAGATACAATAGTACTGTGAATACAAATAAAAAAAAGTTTTAAGTTCTGCCACCACTACAAACTGACAAGAACCTCCTCTGTTACAACATTGCAAAAAAATGTTTGTATCAAGTAAAGTCCATAGTAAGCATTAATGTCAGCGAATGAAGCATAATACAGGCATGTTAGCCCCTTTCAGTATCAATATGTCTTCGACTAGAAACAGTAGGTACAGAAAAATCAGTTCGAATTTTACAGTCGTCGCCCCCTACTTGGTGAAAAGTTGTTATCTTCCAATGAGATGAGTGGCGTTACTCGCGGAAGTCGCCCGGTGTTTGTAGCACTTCCGTCTTCGGCTCCAGCGGGTACACGGAAATGGTAGGATTGCCTTTCAGCACTTCGGGAAACAAGACAAACTGTGTTTTGTATATATAATTTTTATTACATGAATTATAATACTGTTGTGACGCAAATGTCTGATTGCTGGTGTTTGTTTCTGCGTTGGTATGAAGTTGCTCGGTCGGCTCGTAGAGCTAATTCACTTGCTAACATCCCCACCCTTATTCCCCAGTCGCGGGTTGACTGATATTGATTTGACAATTTAATATGTATTAACAATGCCAGCGCTCTGAAATCCAGGATTTTTGTATTATGGGCAAGCCAACTCAAACGGACCTGTTTCATATTGAATTTTAATCGATGGCCAGCAAATAATCAATAGGCAAACCTTTATTATTAAATATACCAGTGTCGTGCTACAAATTTTGTTTCTTCAGTACTGTTACGCATTTGAATAAACGGGTGTATAAGTGCAAATTCTGTTGATCTAGTTGCTGGTTACTTCTGTGATATTTACTTGTTTTGCTTATGCACACCACAACATGTCATAGGTGCTTATCCCAGCTATCAGTATAACAATATTAACTTGCTTTAGGTATGTTAATTATGTGTACAGGCAACTGTCTGTTTTAGAGTCTAGTTCTATGCAGTGAGCTATTTCTGAATTCAAGGCAGCCCACAATACTAAACAAGGTCAGTGTTTTAATATTCATCATCTTTCATGCAGGTTTTGCACTTCCTCAATGTCTTGAATTGAAGTCCAGGAAGTGTAAGGCTTCAGAAGTGTGCAGTCTATGAAAAGATTCTTGGTGTTTGCAGGTTGACTGAGCCACTTAATGTGTACAGCATAGTTTTTTTTTTCTTTGGAGGACTGCAGAAGTACAGTATCCCAAGAATTCCCCTGCAGGTTCAGGCGTGTGTGGAACAAATAGAGTGGAAGTTGTGAGCCATTTGCTAAGTGCTTGCTTGCTGTAAGGTAGCTGACATGGTTCATCCTGAGTACTGATTTAGTTTGATTCCTTTCATCAGACGGCGACTCTGCGCCCATACCTGAATGCGGTGCGTGCTACACTGCAGGCAGCTCTCTGTCTGGAAAACTTCTCCTCGCAGGTGGTTGAAAGACACAACAAACCTGAGGTTGAAGTCCGGTAAGTGTGTGTGACTGTTTGCATATGTGTTTTATTTGTGTGTAAGCGTTACATGATTCATATAGGTCAGTGGCGTACATCTGGCTGCTTAAAAACTTAACATTAAAATTTTTAAATGTTTGCAATATGAGGTAGATAGTTTGAAAGCGAATACTAGCAGAAGTTGCAGTAAACAGCCAAACCTAATCTACCAATTCAATATATTCTTCAAAATTTCATTTCAGCTTTTAAAGAAATAGTGGACATATGAGAATTTCTAATGTTTTACGCATGAGCATCTGGGGTTTAGTTTTATATTAAGTTTTTTGTTTTGCTCATGGTCCTTAAATGCATGACATCATGAGACCCCCTGATAGTGTTGTTATGCAGCAGATTTTAGGCCATTTGATGGTGATTCAGCATGCCAGTTTAAAACCACTTGTGGTGCAGACTGCAATAGACACTTAGCCTATATATACTGCATTGTATGCAGAATGTCAGTGTGTTTGTGTGTATGCTTTACTATTTTTGTCTTATCTCAACAGGAGCAGTAAGGAGCTGTTGCTTCAGCCTGTTGTAATCAGTAGGAATGATAAAGAGAAGATCTTAATAGAAGGTTCCATCAACTCTGTGCGAGTCAGCATTGCTGTCAAACAGGTTAGAACACTCGTTGTTTTACCCTAAACTCACTCTTTCTATCCTTTCAGAGATGGGTCTTGAAATATTGTTATATACTGAAAACTGAAAATGTTCTAATACAAAAAGAGAAGTATTGTGGTGATGAGACGAGAGGGAGGTTGGTTTCACTCTGACTCAACACATGCAGTCCACTGAAAGCCAGTGGTTTTCAACCAGGGGCCCACTAAAGAGCCTCAGCAAATTTCCAAGGGCGCAGCGGGATTTAAATTTAATAAATTGTCATTTATGTTTTAAAATAATCATGCGCTATTAAAACGCAAACAAGCAAGGTGTATTCGTAATGGATTAGTTTAATATATCCAAATTGGAAAACAAGCATTTTTTCATAATTACAGCAGAAATACCAAAAATATAAATACCAGTATGTTGGTAGAGGGGGTCCTTTGAATATTGTGTTGGTGATTTTGGGCATTTTGAGTCACAAAGGTTGAGAACCACTGCGGAAGGCCAGTAGGTATGTGATTTATGTTTCAATAGAATAAGCTAAGGATCCAGTTTGATGGCTTGTTTCTGTCTTTAATGGTCTGTGATTGGATGATGCATCTCAACTGGTCCATTGAAGGCTGATGAGATTGAAAAGATCCTGTGTCACAAGTTCATGCGCTTCATGATGATGAGAGCTGAGAACTTCTTCATCCTGCGAAGAAAACCTGTCGAGGTGAGAGCGATAGGAGAAACGTACAAAAACACTAGGCCTGTTTCTGTGATTACAAAGCTTTGTGTTCGCAGTTCATTTTTATTTCTTGCCAACAAATATCTTAAGTTCTTTGTTGTGAAATGTCTACATGTAATATGATATTTTAACGGTGAATAACCCTCCTTTCTTTTGTCAGGGATACGACATCAGTTTCCTCATTACTAACTTCCACACAGAACAAATGTACAAGCATAAGTTAGTGGATTTTGTCATCCATTTCATGGAGGAGATCGATAAGGAAATCAGTGAGATGAAACTGTCAGTCAACGCCAGGGCTCGCGTAGTTGCAGAGGAGTTCCTCAAAAATGTGAGTCTCTCTGGAACATGATTTAATAGAATGAAAAGTTAACTGTCACACCAGCAAACTCTCTTACTCTGTATTCTGTTTGTGCTCAACAGTTTTAGGAAATGATCAGTACACCTTCTACTGGCTGCAATACCTGTGTCACATTGGAGGCCGGAAAAACTGATGGAGAGCTGTGGGGCTACTGAGGAAGTAGTTAAGGTGCGATTTGTTTCCTGGACCACCAGCAAAGGTGGAACAGCTGGATCCAGAGGGTGTCGTCTGTCACAGGAATTAATTCAGAGTATTGCAGTATTGTAACTCAAGAGCAAACTGATGGCTTTCACAGACAGCCACAGTACTTCTTTTGTTATTGTTTTATTCCTTTGTTTGACTTTTTTTTCTCATTTTTTAAACTTGTGCTAATGGCCTAATTTTGTTTTAAAAGTATTTTGTTTCTTCACACTCTGCAGTTCCATTTGTGTATTGTCTCTGTTCATCTTATCTCAAATCCCTTTGTTATTATTTAGTAGTAGTGAAGCGCTCACAACGTTGCAATATTCTGAATATGCCTCTGCTTTCCCTCGTGCTCATGAATATTAATGAGTAGGTACTGTACATATTAAAAAGGATAGACTCATTTTACCTCTGCCTTTCTAATAAACCTTAAAATCAGGGTGGGTCTATATAAATGAAGCCTTATTGATGCTCATGAGCACTAAGGAAAAATGTTCAATGTCCAATCATTTAAACGGTTTGTTTTGTCAGTGTTTTTTATAAATATGTATACTGTGTTTAGATTTTTCAAGGTAAGTTTTGATATAAAAAAAAAAACTCACGCTGCTGCACATGGATTTTACGAATCATATCAGTCATGGCAAAATAATGATGATGCTAAATAAATCCCTTTATTGCTTGTATTGTGTTGTGTACGGTGGGAATGACCGCTCTTTCAATTTAGGTTCAATTGCTTATTGTGGTAAGTTTTGTTGCAGTCTGCCTTCTGTACATTTTGAATGTTACAGTATGTACAATACAATGACGGCCCATATTTGAAGAGCCTGAGAAGGATCAGTAACTATTTGATATGCAGCCCCCTGTATTTTTAACTATTTGATATGCAAAACCTTTTTATGATATTAAAAAAAAAAAAAGCTCATCACAAGAAATTCAAATAGTAGAAGTTACCTATTTTTAGTTGTTTATCCACACAGCCAAGGTCCGGTAACTCACCTTTCTTCTGTGTCACATATGTACAAACTACCATATGTTAGTATCCTAATTAAGGAACTAAGAAATTGGTGTTATTGTAATTTTTTTTCTTTTATTTAATTTGATTTATTTTCAATTTTTAAAAAACAAATCTAGGGATCTGCCATTTATTGCACAGACTTAGGGAGAA